ATGTAATAGAGAGTGATGTACATGGGGGGGGGGTTCTTGGCGCAGAACTCAGCAGGAAGGGCGGCGCGGTAGCGAGTGTCACTAGTGCGGAGGTGCGTAATGAGGTCAGCGACAGTGGGAAAGGCAGCAAGGTCAGGAAAGAGGTACGGTAGCATGAGGCGGCTCAGGGCAGCAGTGGCAGGGGAAGAGTAGCGCGCAACTACAGCGTCGTACAAGGTCTGAGCACTCTTGTACTGACTAAAGTGCGCGCGCTCAGTGGTAGGCAGGTGGCGACGCACAGCAAGACGTGCAGCAGCATCGCGGGTGGCCCACTGAGAGCGAACAGTGGGGTCAGCATCAGCAGCAGGGGCAGGAGAGGCGCCAGAGGTGAGGTCAAAGAGGGAAAGACCGTCCGTCCTATCGCACTGTAAGAACAGCTGCAGGTCGTCGACCCAGACCTCAAAGTCAATGGCTCGACCCTCAGCGTCAAAAGCGAGGACACTAGGGGTAGCCATGACGACTACAGTGTAGCAGTGCAAGCAGTAGGGGAGGGGCACGCAGTAACAGTGGTGCTGTGCTCACTAGGCAGGGCAGGTCGGGCGGCTCGGCAGTAGGGCGGCCCGGCGGCTGGGCGGCTCGGCGGCTCGGCTGCTGGGCGGCTCGGCTCCCGGGCGGCTCGGCGGCAGGGCGGCTCGGCGGCAGGGCGGCTCGGTGGCTCGGCTCCCGGGCGACTCGGCGGCAGGGCGGCTCGGCAGCAGGGCGGCTCGGCTCCCGGGCGGCTCGGCTGCTGGGCGGCTCGGCGGCAGGGCGGCTCGGCGGTCGTAGGCGGCGGGGCCGGTGAGGATAGGCGGCGGGGCCGGTGAGGATAGGCGGCTGGGCCGCGAAGTGGGGCGGCGGGGCCGCGTAGGTGAGGGCGGCGAGGCCGCGAAGGCAAGGGCGGCGAGGCCGCGTAGGTGAGGGCGGCGGGGCCGCGAAGTGAGGGCGGCGGGGCCGCGTAGGCAAGGGCGGCGAGGCCGCGACGTGAGGGCGGCGAGGCCGCGAAGGCAAGGGCGGCGAGGCCGCGTAGGTGAGGGCGGCTGGGCCGCGAAGTGAGGGCGGCGGGGCCGCGAAGGTGAGGGCGGCGGGGCCGCGTAGGCAAGGGCGGCGAGGCCGCGTAGGTGAGGGCGGCGGGGCCGCGAAGTGAGGGCGGCGGGGCCGCAACGTGAGGGCGGCGGGGCCGCGCAGGTGAGGGCGGCGGGGCCGCGTAGGCAAGGGCGGCGAGGCCGCGACGTGAGGGCGGCGGGGCCGCGACGTGAGGGCGGTGGGGCCGCGTAGGTGAGGGCGGCGCAACGGGCCGCTAGGGGCGACACGGAGGGTCGCTAAAAAAAAAGAAAGCGCGCCTCGGGGCGCGCTTCGGTGGGCCCTAGAAACAGTCCCTAGGAGGGGACCTGCTCTGATTCCATGAGAAAAGGAGAAAGCGAATGAATGAACTATGAATGAAGTGAGTACATATAGGAAACCCTAATTGGGTTGTACCCCCTATGGGATACCCCACTATAGCCTACACAACAGCATAAGCTATATATATGTTCTGACACTGGCCCTACGCCATGAACCATGCGGTGCGCCTGCACAACCTTCTCTCCACCACTGCCAACAGGGACAACCTTTCCCCGCACATGAAGTGGACCGGCTCAAGGGGAGATCCCTCCATGCTGAGGGTCTGGGGGTGCATGGTGCAGTATCGGCCGACTTCAGCCACAATTGGCAAGTTCGCTCACCGCGCGCGCTGGGGAATTCATTTGGGTCTCAGCAACGAGCACAAAGGCTGGCTCATTCTCGACATTGACAGCAACGAGGTTGTTCCCGCGCGTGATATTCTTTTTTACGAGCGACTCACCCTGAAACAGTGGATCGAAGACGAGCGTCGCAACGAGGCACGCGACTATGTCAACAGCGGCCGCAGTTTTGCGTCACCAGAGGACGAGGCAGCAGCAGCAGCACTTGACCGCGATCCCGCCGACGAACATCCCGGCGTTCCGCCTCGCCCGCGCAACGACGACGACGACGACGACGATGACGACGACACACCCGCGCCAGGACCATCACGTCGCCAACCTAAGCCCAGCACCACCGCAACTGCCCACGAGAGTGACGATGACGATGTGGTGGAGGTCACCACCAGCAACACCACCACCGTGTCTGGCCTGCAGCTTCTCGGCCTACACACGTCAGTCACTACCTTCACGCGTGCCGTCGAACCCAAGAACCCTCGCCAGGCCCTTACCGGTCCCCACGCCAAGGAGTGGCGTGCTGCTATGGACGCGGAGCTACAAGCACTGGAATCACGCGACACATGGGTCCTAGTCGATCGTGCAGCAGTGAAGGGGAGGAGGGTGCTAAGCGGAAAATGGGTATTCCGTCTCAAAACCAACGCCGACGGTACCATCGAGCGCTTCAAAGCACGCTGGGTCGTACGCGGGTACGATCAGCGCCACGGCATCGACTTCGACCAAACCTTTGCTCACGTCAGTCGTCACACCTCCGTCAGAATTCTACTCGCCATTGCCGCCGCTAAGCACCTACCACTACGGCAGATCGACGTGAAGAACGCGTTCTTATACGCGTTGGTGGATGCAACCATCTTCGTGGAACAGCCACACACCTACGGGGAAGGAGACCCCAGGGTCTGCCAGCTGAAGAAATCCCTCCACGGGATAAAGCAAGCGCCGCGTCTCTGGCAGCAGCATCTGCACAAAATCCTCCTGGAGATCGGCTTCAGGCAGCTGCCACACGACCTGGGAATGTACCGCCTTCACTTCAACGGTGACTACATCCTCCTGACAGTCTACGTCGACGACCTGCTACACACCGGCACCTGCAACAAGCTTCTTAATCAATTAGAAGAAAATCTGGCGCAGCGCGTTGACATCACCATCAACCACAACGTCACACAGTTCCTGGGGTTAAACATCAACCTGCAACAAGCTTCTTAATCAATTCGAAGAAAATCTGGCGCAGCGCGTTGACATCACCATCAGCCACAACGTCACACAGTTCCTGGGGTTAAACATCACCTACGCGCCAGAAGCAATTCATCTGTCAGCCTCTAAGTACGCAGAGCAACTGGGAGAACGCTTCAACATTTCACCCGCAGCACTCTTAACTCCTTATCGCAACCCCAGTGCCAACTACAAACCGGACAACAAACCTCTGTCGCCCGCAGGACTCCAAATGTACCAGCAGAAATTGGGGTGCCTACTGTTCGCCTCTGTCACCTGCCGACCCGACCTTTCGTACATCGCCAGCCAACTGGCACAGTACTCTCGCAAGCCAGTAGCAGAGAACCAGCTGGATCTGGAACGCGCCCTGCAGTACTTCGTTTCCACACCTGACATCGGGCTCTCCTACTCCACGCCGACGACAACTTCCTTCAACCTCAACGGCTACGTGGATGCAGATCATGCCGCTGACCCTGCAAATCGACGGTCCCGAACCGGCTTCGTCTTTCGCCTGGAACCAACAGGACCAATCTCCTGGAACTCGCAGAAGCAGGAGCTGGTTGCCCTGTCATCGGCCGAAGCTGAATACATCGCCGCGACAGCTGCAGTTCGCGAAGGTCTGTACCTGCAGGAGCTACTGCAGGAGGCGAAAATTCCAACTTCGCCCACTTTTCGTCTTCACTGCGACAATCAGAGTGCCATCAAGATTGCGAACAAGCCAGGTTTCGTGAACCGCACGAAGCACATCGCGCTCCGGTACTTTTTCGTCAAGGATGAAATTGACCAGGGCAAGGTCGATCTCACGTACTGCCCCACCACCGAGATGGCAGCCGTCAGCAGTACAAGCACTGTTCCGACCTCACTGGAGTGGTCAAGCGAGTCAGCCCCTTGCGCGCCCAGGAATGAAGGGGAGTGTTGCGATTTGAAACTTTATGAGAAGGCATCCCTGTATGCTACAGGGACCGACTCTAAAGTGTATGAAGCCGAGGAGCCAGAAGAGTCGAAGCGACACTGGTAACCGTCTGATCAAGACCGATGCAGGCAGAAACATTCGAAGTGAAAAGAGCGGGAACAGGTTTGAAACAGGTTCCCGCGCCGCACGGTTTGAATTCGCTGCAATAAGGGAATGTACCCCTTACAGTACATGGCTAGTCTAGGTCTTTTCGTATTCCCCTGTATTCTTATATAAACCCGATGTATGCATGCTATTATCAACTCAGTCATTTACATTCACTCTGACCTGAGATTCAATCTTCCGTTGCAAATACTACTATGCGATCAACCCTGAGCGATCCTTCGCTAAGTCCCACTTGGGATTGTAACAGTAAGAAAACAGCATAACCATACGGGTTAACACAGATGTATGGAAATAAAGACGTATATCATCGTTAGCCCTAAATAGAACTCCATTTTTTGTAGTCACGAAATCAAGCAGTCACTTGAGTTTGGTTCACCAAGCAAGTCTCCTTTCTTTTTCTGTGCAACTGAATAGCTAATATCGGAGTGTGCTCCTAACGCATCATGAGCTGTCACATCCACTGGTCCATTCAACACACCAGTGCATGTGTCCTGGTTGTGTGCTTCAATGCCTGTCACTCACGTGGCTCCACGCCCGCACGCCCTCAATTCTCAAATCTATCGAACGAACCGTTCCTGTCTCCTCGAGATTCCCGCGCTTCTTATCGCGAGCCCCGCGGAATCCGCTCCTCATGCCGCCGCCCTTGCGCTCCCCGGTTCGCCAGTGCGCACTCGCGAACTTTTCAGCGCGCATCCCCACGTGCTGCGGAGGGCGAGAGCAGATGAATGTGCCGTGCTGTATTCCCCACCTCCTCCCCCTCCCCACAAGCTCCTCCATCCATATGCATTCTCGCTGCTGCTTCTCCCATGATTCTTCGCATACCCGTTCCTCAAACCGGTTGGCCGGTTATCAGCGTCGATCACGCTACGCACAGTGGTGAAGCATCCGCGTTTGTAGGCGTCGATTGCGCCACGCACTACGTCCATCCGCGTTACAAAGCGCCTCAGAAGGCGTGTTGCTCGATGGCGCACGGGGAAGGGCTCCAGGGGCCGGGCGCGCGGCCAGGGCGGACGGTATCGGGGAAAGACGCGGGGGATGGCGGGAGGAGCGGCGGAATATTCGGCGGAGATCGAAGGGTGGTGGAAGAGAAAGTGGCGGAGGTGGATTGCTACTGTTCGGGGACACGTGGCGACATGAGATTGGCTGCTTCGGTGGAAGGGATGACGGGGTGAGTGGGCCAGGGGGTGAGGTGGAGACACGAGCATGGGGCATGGGGCAGGGCATGGGGCATGGGGCATGGGGCACTGAGCACGAAGCACGAGGCATGGGGCATGTTTACTGCTGAGTGAAACTCTGCTCTCGCCTTGTGCGGTTTCCCCAGTCACTCTCTCACTCCCATCTACCTTCCAACTCTCACCCACCTACAATCAGACCTTCACTCTGAAATCAACAGTGCTACGCCCACCCCCTCAATCTTTCCACGCAATCGTAATTGCTGATTGGGTGATAGCAGCCAGCCAGCCAGCCAGTCCAATCAGGCTTGCCAGTTCTAACACATCAGGCAAAATGGTATGTGCAATACCTGACTGTCACGCACACCCTCCCCCCCCCCCCCCTCCCTCCCTCTCTCGCTCTCCTTCACACCGACAGCCCCAGCAGAAGCCAGCGGCAACACGCGCATCACCACCACCACTTAGAAGCAGCGCGGACCACTCCCATGCCGCCCGCTGCTGCTGCCCCGCCGTGTGCCACTGCCTGTGCTGGCGCCTGTGGGTTGGAGTGTAGGCGGCAGAGCAGGGAGGTGGAAGGCGCGCCGTTGTTGACTGCAGCAGCTAGAAATGCTGGCACGTGCACGTCTGGGCAGCAGGGGCTACAGGGGCAAGAGGGGAAACAGCAGCAGCAGCAGCAGCAGCAGGGGCAGCGGAGCAGCAGGGGGAGTGAGAGGCATGGGTTTCGAGTTTTGGCATGTGCAGCAGTGCGTCTGTGCGTGCTGCTGCTGGCCCTCCTGTATCTTCTCCTGCTGCTCTCACTGCTCGTACTGGTGAGCACACACACACGCACACACGTCCTTTGCTGTGGCACACTGCCACACACGTCCTTTGCTGTGGCACACTGCCACACACGTCCTTTGCTGTGGCACACTGCCACACACGTCCTTTGCTGTGGCACACTGCCACACACACCACACCAAGCACATGTGCACCCTGCCATCCCACCTGCTTGTTTCACCCTTCATCTCTCACCACTGCTCTCCTTCACCAAGTCACCTTCGCCTGACCTTACTCACCTGACCCTCCTCCCACCCGCACCCCCCCCACCCCCAACCTCTCCGCCCGCTCCCCCGTTCCCCCCCGTCTATCCCATGCCACCACAACCCCTTCCCCTGCGTCCCATGCAGGCCCCCACCCGCCACGCTGCACGGTCTTCCCTCCTCTCTGCCCTCCGCCTGCTTCCCCGCACTCCGTCCCCCTCGCCCCCTCCTCTTGCCTCCCGTCCCCTGCCGTCGCCCCCCCTCGCACCACCCTCTCACCCCACCAACCCCCCCGCACTGGCCTCGCCTGGGTGTGTGGTGGGGCGAGGCGGCAATGGGTCATGCAGCAGCCACTGCTGTGTGGACACGTGTGCTGCTGGGAGCCTTGCTGACCTTGCCTGTTTCAGGAGGGAGTTGACAGAACAGCATGGGTTGCATGGGCATGGGCATGGGTATGGGCATGGGCATGGGCATGGGCATGGGCATGGGCATGGGCATGGGCACGGGCATGCGCATGCACATGGGCATGGGCATGGGGGGTTGGGCGAGGAGGGCGAGAGGGATCGGTCGTATGCGGAGGACTGCTGTGTGTTCACATGGGAGAAGCCCCACAAGATGCACAACGTGGCAGTGAGCTCGCCCCCACCCCCTTGCTTTGCGCCACTTCCTTCTCTCCCCATCCTGCTCTATCCATCCATCCTCCTTGCGCTGCTCCCCTTCTCGTCCTCCACACACTCTTCAAGGCGGCCGCAAGCATTCCTGCCACCACCGTCCTTTCCTTCCCCCCTCTTTTTCTCTCCCTTTCTGCTTCGCCCTCCCTCTCTTCTGCCCTGCACGCCAGGTCACGGTGTGGGACGAGTTCACAGTGGCGCATGCGGTGGGGTGGTGTGCCAAGGCGCTCATCATCCGCGACCGCCGCATGCTGCTGCTGCTCTCCACCGCCTTTGAGCTCACCGAGGTGACTTCTAAGTCGACTCATAAAGTCCCATGCTGCTTCTTTTTTCCCCGCCTTCGAGCTCACTCACTCAGGTGCCGTTTGAGTCGATTCATAAGTCGCTGCTTGCTGCTGCTGCTGCTGCTGCTCTCCCCCTACTTTGATTTGAACCTACTGAGGTCCAAGCCTCCCCTCTGTCCACGCCCCGTGTTCCCCTCTCATCCTCCCTCTCTCCCCGTGTTCCCCTCTCATCCTCCCTCTCTCCCCGTGTTCCCCCCTTTATTCTCTCCAATCCCCTCAGTCCACCCTCGCCCCTCGCTCGTTACCCTTTCTCACAAGTTCTTCCTTGCACTTTACCCCTTGCACACCCATTTCTCCCTCACTTCTCTCCCACTCACTCCTCTCCCCTCTCCCCCTCTCCTCCCGTCCGCCCTCCCCCCATGCAGCGCATGTACAGGCATCTGTTGCCCAACTTCAACGAGTGCTGGTGGGACTCCATCATCCTCGACATCCTGCTCTGCAACACTCTCGGTCCGATCCGCTCCCTGCTGCTCTGCACTGCCTTGCCACCCCCTGCCCCCTCCATGCCACCTCCATGCCACCATAACAATGAGAAGTGCTTACTCGAAGCACATTCGCCCTGACAGCCACGTCTCTTTCACTGCCCGTGTTCCTTGTGTTTCACTGCAGAGAGAGAGCAGATCCTTGTGTTCTTACTGACCGTCGTTCACGCTCGCTCCCATGTTCATCGCACACCTCCTACGATCCAACCGCCTCCCTTCGTCCCTTTCTCACCCTCTCCCACAACTGACACATCTCTCATCTGCTCGGTTCCTCCTCCTCATCCCTCCCTCCCCACCCTCTCTCCCTTCCCTCCTCTCCTTCTCCTCAGGCATGGAAGTGGGCCTCTGGCTTCTCCAAGTGTGCCACATGCCGCGCTTTGATTGGTTCGCCGGCGTATCGTCTCTCATCGCCCACAAGGCACCCTCCTTTCCGCACCTCATCTCCGCCACTCGCCAGTCCCTTGTGGTTCGTACCTCCGTCCCTTCTTCAATCCCGGCCAAACAAATCCATCACTCCCTCCCTCCCTTCACCGTGCTTGCTTCCACCCAGTCCATCGCATCGCAACCCATGCACACACCACATCCCTCTTCTTCTCACCCCCAATCCTCCTACATGATTGAAGAAGTGTTTTGAGACGTCTCAAAACACCACATCCCTCTTCTCCTCACCCCCGTTCCTCCTAAATCCGTCCTCCTTTCCACCACCTCACTCCTTTCCTGTCTCTTCCCTTCTTCCCTCTTCCCCCCCTCCCCCCCCCCTCCGCTTGCAGGCAGCGCTGCTCTTCCTCCTAGTGCTAGCAGCGGGCCTCTGTGCATTCTTCCTCTAGCACTGCATCGGCCCTCGTCCTGCTGTGTCTTCTGAGACGTCTCAAAATCCTCCCCGCCCTCCCAACTTCCCCCCCCCCCCCCCTTGCAGGCAGCACTGCTCTTCCTCCTCGTGCTAGCAGCGGACCTCTGTGCTTTCTTTCTCAAGCACTGCCTCGCCCTGCCACCACTGCACCCCTTCAACTCCCTCCGCCTCTGCCTCTGGGCCGCGCTCTCCCTCCCCGCCGCGCACTGCCTGCACTCTCTCCTGCACTCGCCCTCCCTCGCCTGCTCGTGCCCCTCGGCGTGTGCTGCAGGGCGGGTGAGGGGGGAGGCGTCGGGGGAGAATGGAGCAGCGCGGGGTGAAGGGGAGCAGAAAAGGAGGGAGATTGGGTGAGATGCGTGTGGGGGAGAGGGGAGGGGAGAGGGGAGGGGAGAGGGGAGGGGGAAGGGGCTGAGGGGCTTAAATAATAGAGCAGTACAGTTGCCAGAAATCGGACATTGAGCCTGGTCCATGCAAGGAACCATGCTGCTTGCCTTGGCGAATCCTAGCTGCTGAGATGAGATGCACCCTGTCATGCTTCCACGCTTTTATACTCACTGCATTCCTACCGTCCTCCTTCCACCCATCTCTCTCCATATTGTGCACCCCACCCCATGCTGTGCCTTGGTCTCATCAGGAAAGATTTTCGAGTCGACTCAAAAATCACCTCCAGCTCTCACCACCTTGTGCGCCCACCCCATTCCATTTGCCCTGGTGCCATCAGGAGCATGCCGTTCCTCATCCTTGCACTGCTGCTCTGCATCTCCGAGATCGTTTTTGAGCCGACTCAAAAACATTCTGACTGCATTCCTACCATCCCCCTTCCCCTGTCGCTTCTACCTCTCACCACCTTGTGCGCCCACCCCATTCCCTTTGCCCTGGTCTCATCAGGGGCACACCGTTCCTCATCCTCGCACTGCTGCTCTGTATCTCCGAGATTCTTGTCTCACTCAAGTTCTGCCAGGGTATGTACCTCTCTCTCACTGTGCCCTGCCGTCTTGTTCCCTGCCATGCCGCATCATGTGTTGGTGTTCCTACGGGCGTGTTGGTGTTTGTGTCGGTGACAATTACCAGTTTATTCGAACCTCCACCAGCGCATCCACATAAGTCTTTCCCGGTCTTTCAATCAAGCTCCATTTGACTGTCTCCCGTCTCCCATTCCCCCGTGTCCTCATCGCCCCCCTTGACCACCTCCAGGCATGTTTCCCTCTCCGCACCCTCCCTGGGTGTCTGCTATCCACACAGCTCTTGCCTGTTCCTTTCTCCTCCTCCTCCTCCTCCCTTCCCTCGTGCCCCCTCTCTTCCTCTGGTTCCTCCCATCTCCCCTTGGGCTTCATTCCTCCTCCTTCGCCCCCCTGGCTTCTACCGGCTATTGCCCACTGACAAATGCGGATGGTGCGAATGCTTGGCGGAAGGATCTTCAATAGAGGGGGAATTGGGTGCTTCTGATTGGTCAACCAAGTGCGAGGCAGCTATACTGCCTCCATAACATGCTCAGAAACTCTAAAAGCCATACCGTAAGTCCGAACCAGGTTCGGGGACCTTTGTGTTGGGTTTTGGGCACTGTTGTGCAAATACCAACTTCCAGCAATTGCTCTTGCATGCTGTACAGTGCTTGGTTGACATTTTTTAGTCTACAGTATCATGAATTTTCCTATTTCATTTTTTTTTCAAACTGTTTTATTTTTTTATTTGAAGGTAACCCCGCCATAAGGCAGAGACAAGAAATGACTCACCATAGAAACTTCATTGTGCAATATTATAAGAAACAGCAATATAATAGATGGAGGTAAAAAACATTGCCTATTACTAATCGCAAAAATATCATCAATCTCCGAATTGTTCCCTGTCAATACTCAAAACAATTTCATGCGTACAAAAATATACAAAAATTACCACTTCTCTTTAATAAGGAACTAGCAACATTGTCCCATTCTAAGTAGATACAACCTTGATAAATCGCTTTCCATAAGTATGATATAATATGTACCACTATAATGTTTTTTATACGAGAAATATAACCCTACGCAACCCTTACGACGTAAACCAGTGTGACGCGATCCACATCCCTCGTCCATTTTTTATTTCGCCAGCATTATCGCCGTCATCCACAGCCTAGGAAACGACCTCTGGAATCCACGATAGCGCCTGGAGCAAACGCGTTCCCTGAAGCGACTCCTCTCGCAGCGGTCGCACATGGCCAAGGCCTTGCCGCGCCCGTTGCGGGCTGCGTCCCATCACAGAGGTTCCGCCTCGCACAGAAGTTATGAGCGGATGATGCGCCGCACGCTAGTAGGGTCGCTGCGATGCCCATTTAAGCATCCGTGCCCGATCTTCTTTCTCACCTCTCCTGCTCTACCACTTACCACCAACGCCTCGACGTCTCTGTAAATACTCTATCAGCAGCACTCCCCCTGGATTGCTCCGCTGCACATCTGCCACTCCGGCTGTCGCCTGTCAGTGATCTGCTGCAACCATCTTGTGCGCGCCTCCTCTCGCCACCCGAACCGGCGTTGGCTGTCGGAACTCGTGTAGCGAGTCAAGGCCGAAGAGCGAGCACCATCATCCACTGCGGAAGCAGCAGCATGGAGAATGGCAAGGCCGTGCGTGCGCTGCTCGCCATCGTCACCGTCATTGCCGGTACGCCGCGTTATTCGCGTCGCTCTCTCTCGCCGTGCTCTCATGCGCCTCATGTTCACGCCGTCATGAGCTCAATGCACCACACGGCAGTGGGCACACCTGAAGACATGTCCAATGAACACGCCCGTGCCTCCGTGCCCCTCCCATGCCACATGCCGCCCCTCTCTTGCAGCGTGTCTCCTGCAGCCGTCGCAAGCAGCTGTGATGGCGAGCGCGAGCGTGGGGCTTGGCGTGAAGATGACGCTCAGTGGGCGCCCTGTCACCTTCAAGCCGCCGCTCTTCTGTGCGGCCATTCCAGCCACAGCGGCTGACTTGCAGGTGGTGTGGCAGCAACCACAACCACGCAAGGCTGCCTCCGCGCCTGCCACCGGGCCTTGCACGACCATCCAGTTCTTCCAGAGTCGAGGGTGCTCAGGAAAGGCGATTGACACCCTCGTGAACGGCGATGAGAGGTGCGCGTTTCCGTGATGCTCGCGTTGTTCCTATGCTCCTGTGCTCGTAACGCCGCTCATTTATTCCCCCACCTGTCCCAATGACCCTTGCACTTGTGGCGCCTTCCCTGTGCGCAGTTCCAAGAAGCTCGCCAAGGGAGTGAAGTCCGCCCGCTGCGTCATTGGTGCGTCCCCTCTTGCCTTGCCCCGCCCGCCTCTCCTCCATTCCGCTACAGTGCAATCGGGCCGATTCGGCTCAGCAAGGACTCCCGTACTTCCCTCTCTCGTTCTCGCTCAACGATTCCCTGTCTGGATGGACCCACGTGCTCACCTGCCCACTCTCCTTTTCTGTGCTGCAGAATCCACAGGACCTGCCATCGACACCACAACACCTTCCGGCGACACCCCCGTCACGACACCTTCGAGCGAGACCCCCATCACTGCACCTTCCGTGCCGCGCGTTTTTACCCCCTTCCCGTTTTAGCACTTCCTGTCAAATTTTATACATTATCTTGATAGGCTATAGTGAGTAGGGCTGTGGGGAGTACAACACTTTATAGGGTTTGTATTTGTATCTCCCATCTTGCTAGTCACACACATTCCGCTGTTTCTCACTTTGAGATGGTATCACGAGTAGGTACAGTTCCTAACCTAGCTTAGCCCGCCCCGCCCCGTTCCCTAGCCTAGCCCGTCCCGCCCCGCTCGTAAGCAGTTGCGCATAGAGCGCTGCCCTGCCCCGTCCCATACCCGCGCGCTGCCCGCTTCGAGCTGCCCGGTCCGCGCTACCCGCCCCGTAGGACGCTCGACTCCACCACCACTGGGACGCTCAGCACCCCCAAAACCAGCACCTCCAGAGTCAGCACCGCCAGAACCAGCACCCCCAGAACCAGCACCTCCAGAGTCAGCACCCCCAGAACCAGCACCTCCAGAGTCCGCACCTCCAATGTCACCACCCCCAGCAGCACCGGAGTCCAGAGCGACAGGTTGCGGAGGCGGTGAAGACGGCCGAGGAGGAAAACCAGGAGGGGCCTCTAAGCGCGGTGAGGGGCGAGTGGCCGCTGTGTAGTCAGCAGCGGGGTCACCCCTGTCACAATAGGGTGGTAGGGATGATGCAACTATCGAGAAGGTTTTGGTACAAAACTGAAACCTAAGGGGTTGTACCCCACAGTGAGTGCCCCACTAAAGCCTACCTAAACTATAACATATAAACATATGTTTGACACACCCCCATAGGCAAAGTGGGGGAGAGCAAGGAGTCACAAGACCTGTCAAGAAAGGCAAAGCAAGCTCAGGGTGGATCACAACGTCACCACACTCACTGAGCACAAGCAAAGGGCCACAAGGCCAGTTCACATGCAGAGGCATATATGTAACACAAACATCACAGTGATCTTTACCTAGCAAAGCAAGCATGCAGGTATATATATATAGATCACAGTACAAGCAAAGCCTACAGCAAGTGAGGAAAAGTGGGCACAAGCCCTAGCATAGTGCAAAAACGCTGATGATCACCAGACTGAAGTGTCTTGGTGAATATATCAGCAGTGTTGGCCCGAGTGGCCACGTAACGCAGACGAAGCTGACCACGCTGCTGCAACTCTCGAGCCAGGAAGTAACGCAGAGCGATGTGCTTCGTTCTGTGCTCCAGTCTGTGCTCCTCACACAAGGCAATGGCTGCCTTGTTGTCGACGTACAGCACTGGAGGAGAACGAGGCCGCTCTCCCAAGTCGGTCAGCAGGTAGGTGAGCCAGCGTAACTCCTGTGCAGCCATGGCTGTGGCGTAGATCTCAGCCTCACAACTGGAGCTGAGAACTGAAGACGAGCGTGTAGAACGCCAAGAAACCGAACCAAAGCCAAGGCTGAAGGTGTAACCCTGTGACGACCGCTGCGTAGCCTGGTCGTCAACCCAAGAAGCGTCTGAGTGCCCAGTGAGGACAACGTCGGTCCGTCCTCCAAGTACGAGCCCCATGCCCGATGTACTGCACAAGTAGCGTAGTACCCTCTTAGCAGCATCCATGTGCACCTTTCGGTGCCGACCAGGAGCCACGTAGCGAGCCAGAAGGCCAAGAGGGTACGCAAGGTCAGGACGAGTGCAGGTCATCAGGTACATGAGGCAGCCCACTAGCTCTGGGTAAGGACCACTCGGCTCTACGGACTCGTCCGAAGGTGGAGCTGAGAGTGAGTGACCTGTAGCCAGAGGAGTGTGCTGGGCCGAGGACCAGGTGAAGCCGAAGCGCTGAAGGACCTGCTGCACCATGTGTGACTGAGTCAGTGTGATGGTGCGGCGTGCTCTGTCCCGGGTGATCCGCAAGCCAAGACAGCTTGTCAGCTCACCCAGGTCTGTGCACGTGTGTCTCTTCTGCAGCTCCGACTTCACCAGGGCGAGAGCCTCAGTGTCAGCAGTGGCAAAGACCAAGTCGTCGACGTACACGAGGATGTAGAACGGCGGCAGCGAAGTGTCGGTGCGCAGAAACAGCGACGGGTCAGCAGTAGACGGAGCAAACCCAAGAGCCGCAAGTGTCGTCCTCAGTGTGTCGTGCCACTCACGTGGCGCCTGGCGGAGACCGTAGACCGGCCGCCTGAGGCTCCACTGGGTACCAGGAGGGAACGACCCAGTGAAGCCAGGTGGGCGGCGCAGCCAGATCTCCTCGTGCAGGCTGCCCTGTAAGAAGGCTGTGCTGAAGTCAAGAGAGTGAAGCTCGTAGTCACGCTGAGCGGCAACGTGCAGCAGCACCCAAAGAGTGGTCATCTTCGGGGTGGGGGAGAAGGTCTGGAAGAAGTCTACTCCCTCTCGCTAACTGAAACCTCGTGCAACGTAACGCGCCTTGAAGGCAGGCGGAGAACCTGGCGGCCGCTTCACCCTGAAAATCCACATGCCACTGACGATGTTCGCCCCAGGTGGGGGAACCTCGTTGACGTAGGTGCCTGTGGACTTCCAGGATGCCATCTCTGCGTCCATGGCTGTCTGCCACTGAGAGGAGTACTCACTCGCGATCGCCTCAGCGTAAGAGCGCGGGGTCGGGATGTCTGGAGCATCCGGGTCTCCCTCAGGGGCAAGCAGCATGGACACGAGATGAGGCGCAGCGGCTGCAAGACACTCAAGGTCCTCCTGCCTGTCCTCAAGGACGTCCGTGCCAAGAGCACACTCACCCCCGACGGACGGAGGACAGACAGACTCAGACTCAGCAACAAGACTAGCGGCGTAGTCTAGACGACAGGCAGCAGCAAAGTCAACAAGCTCAGCAACTAAGGCAGACGTAGCAGCAGACTCAAACGACGGGTCAGTGACAACAGTGGCTAGCAGACGCGTGACAGTAGGGTGCTCAGCACGAAACCGGTCAGACTCGGGGTCCGCAACTACAGGCAGAGAAGACGCAGGGGGGGACGGCAGAGGAACACGGTGTGGAGGAGAGGAAGGACGACGGACTACGAGGTGGGTGTCGGGGACAGCCGGCAGACGCGGACGAGGAACACGATGACCGGAACGACCAGAACAGACAGGCGAGACAGGACGCGACGCAGGCTCACGACGCTCAGTAAGACTCCCTAGCTGCTCAGTGTAAGGTGAAGGAGCAGGCAGCGGTGAACCAGGCTGCAACGGAAGACCAGTAGACGAAGGGAGACTAAGAACCTGGCGAAGCACAGAGTCAGGCGGTGGCTGAGACGACGGAGACGGTGGAGCGAAGAACAGGCGCGGCTGTGTAGTGACACCAGCACCAGCAGCTCCAGTACCCCCAGCAGCTCCAGCACCTCCAGCACCTCCAGAACCTCCAGCGCCAGCACCCTCAGCAGCTCCAGAACCTCCAGCTCCAGCGCCACCAGGGGCAGTACCTCCAGCAGCTACAGAACCTCCAGCGCCAGCACCTTCAGCAGCTCCAGAACCTCCAGCTCCAGGGCCACCTGCGCCAGCACCTCCAGCAGCTCTAGAACCCTCAGCGCCAGCTCCTCCAGGACCAGCTCCACCAACAGCAGCACCCCCAGAACCGGCACCTCTAGTCCCAGGGTCTCCAGCCTCAGTGCCTCCAGCAGCAGCACCCTCAGACTCAGCACCTCCAGCCCCAGCAGCTCCAGTACCTCCAGTACGAGCACCTCCGGGACCAGCACCACTCCCAGCTCCAGTGACGACAGCAGTGAGAACAGCATCATAGTCAAGAGCAAAAATATCTACCCCCTGCCCAAGCAGCTCCAGCCAGGTGGGGAGCTCAGCCTCATCACCAAACTCGGTGCGCCAGTCGTCACTCAGACGGGCGAAGCAGCGGGACTGTGTGTGACCAGGCATCCCGCAAGGCTGACAAGTCCGATCACCTGTGCGAATGACGTACGGGCAGCGAACTGGACTCAAAGACCCTCTACTCTGAGCGTACCACTCGTGAAGCTGCCGGGACGTAAGTGTCTCTCGCGAACGCCGCTGCAGCTGCGGCTGGCCACTGCCAGACGCTCCCAACGGACCAGCTCCAGGGCTACAGCCACGACGGCTACCGCCACAACCCCAACTACCGTACCACTCACGAAGCTGCTGGGGCGTGAGAGACTCGCGCGGGCGGCGCTGGAGCTGCATCGCAGCAGTAGCAGCAGCAGCAGCCTAGCAGCAGTAACAGAAGTAGCGGCAGCAGTAGCAGTAGCAGCGCGGGCAGGCAGGCAGGCCGACAGGCAGGCAGGCAGGCCGGCAGGCAGGCAGGCCGGCAGGCAGGCAGGCCGACAGGCAGGCAGGCAGGCGGACAGGCAGTGCGCTAACAAGGCAGGTGCTCACCAGTGGCGGAAAGAGCAGGCGCTCGTCGGGCGAGCAGGGCCGGCGCTCGGCGGGCGGCTGCACAGGGTCCAGGGGCGGCTGCACGGAGTCCAGGGGCGGCTGCACCAGGGGCGGCTGCTTCAGGGGCCAGGGGCGGCTGCTCTGGGTCCAGGGGCGGCTGCTCAAGGGTCCAGGGGCGGCTGCACCAGGGGCGGCTGCTGCAGGGGCCAGGGGCGGCTGCTCAGGGTCCAGGGGCGGCTGCACCAGGGGCGGCTGCTGTAGGAGCCAGGGGCGGCTGCTCTGGGTCCAGGGGCGGCTGCTCGAGGGTCTAGGGGCGGCTGCACCAGGGGCGGCTGCTTCAGGGGCCAGGGGCGACTGCTCTCGGTCCAGGGGCGGCTGCACCAGGGGCGGCTGCTGCAGGGGCCAGGGGCGGCTGCTCTGGGTCCAGGGGCGGCTGCACCAGGGGCGGCTGCTGCAGGGGCCAGGGGCGGCTGCTCTCGGTCCAGGGGCGGCTGCTCAGGGTCCAGGGGCGGCTGCACTAGGGGCGGCTGCTGCAGGAGCCAGGGGCGGCTGCTCTGGGGGCGACATTGGGGCAGGGCGGGGCCGCAATAGCGGGTAGAGCTCGGCACGAGGGCCGTAGGGGTGCGCGAGGTCGGGGCCGAGCCGCAAGCTGCCAAAAAGGGGCGGCGCGGCGGGCAGGGAAGGGCGGCTCGCGGGCCCTACAGGTGCGCGACGGGCCAGCCAGGGTCGCGCGC